ACCACTCCTAACTGGAAAAAAAACCTACAACTATAATGCTATTGAAGGAGGAGGAAGTATTTTATTTTATTCTGTTTTACAAACACATGTTACATAAGGGTACAAAAATCTCTGTCATGGCTTCAGAGCCTGTATGAAGCCATGCAAAAATATATATTGCAACCTCCAGTGTTCCTTTGAGCCTTATGGAGAAAGCAATGCTTTACTGCTCTGTATGGAGTGGTAAAAATCAGATTAACCAAATTTAGCATGGTTTCTGACCCTGCACTTCTGGCTTTTCTTCCCACCACTTTGCATTGACATGAAGCACATGCTGTGGAGTAATGGATATTCAGATCTCACCTGTTCAAAAGTCACTTACTAGTTGGCTGTGAAGTATTTTTATCTTGTGGCTTCATAGCCTCCTCTACAAGTGCACAAGATGCTTCTGCCCTTGAAACCATAAAGATTGCATAGTTAACATGGGCCTTTGAAGTGGCACCAGAAAGGTACCAAGAACTGATGAGCACAAAGCAACTGGGTCCATCAAGTAAGATTTGGTGTATACTGATTCATTTTCACTTGTCTTAAGGGTCAATAGTGGTGCTTGTAAGTATTTTTTTCTTTTTTGCAGAAGTCATCTTAATGTCTTAATGTACTAAATTCTGTTTTCAACTCTCAAAAATTTCCAGCTGAGAACCCAGTTATTTATAACATATACTTAATTTAAAATAAAAGGTGCAAACTCTAGCAAGCTCCAAATAAGCCAGATTTCATTTATCCAGACTTTGGGCAATGTCTACTGCTCATTTTTGGAAAAAAAATATCCTGTACAAGAAAGACTTGGGCAGAACTGAAGCATTCAAACTTAAAAGTGTGTAATCCAGCTTCTTCCCCTAACACTTGGGGCAGATTTAATTTCCCCGGCATTGACCCTTTGCTGCAGGTATGAGCAGGCAGGCCTTCCCCAATGTGGTCACTCTTGCCTGCTTCACTTTATCTTAATTATCTGGTCTCATTAGTTGTTTAGCTGATGCTACGCAAGGGCTTACTTTTTTATTTTACTCTCCATAAACATTTCTAACCACTAATAGAAATACTGTTTTATTGACCCAGAAAGTTGCCTCATAAGAATCAGGTGTTTCAGTGAGGATGATGTTGCAGAGGACAGGAACACTACAAATCTGTGGGCTCTGGTGACACAGGGCTCATTCACAGGGGCTCACAGCAGACACACATCTCTGCAGTTGTTCTTGTTCTGCCTTGGCAGAAGCCCTGGAGTGGGAGCAGTGACAAGGATGGGACAGAAGTCCCTTGGAGGAGAAGGGTAACCTGTGGCCTGGCAGACAACAATTCAGTTCTTCATCACTTCCCAGATTCCAGGGGAACACCAGTCTGGAGACCTTAATCAAGGAAGCATCTGGATGTCCAATTTTAGTGCTAGACAGCCTTTCCCAACCAGCTGCCATGCCAAGTGCTTGCTCTCAGTTCCTATACCAGGACACGCATGACACTGACCTGTGACATTTAGACAAAATAAGGTCATAAAAGGGAGCTGAGAAATGTTTGAAACCATTCACTGGGCATGGATTCCCACTGTGACATATGTTAGGAAGGCTTTTCCCAGACAGGAACAGGAGCTGGAAATAAAGGCTCCAACCTCTCATCAGTGCCACAAGATTTACCAGCTTCTCTCTCTTTAAGCTTCCCGCTTCATATACCCCAGGGACAGGCATTAGCAAACATCATGAGAGGAGTCACAATAATAAATAACCTGTATTAATCATGGAACTTTATAAAATATAAAATAAACACTGTAACAGCAATAATTTCCTATGTGATTTTATCCTCTGAACTTTCCAGAGTTGGTTAAACTGGCCTGTTTACAGATATTTGCTACAGCTTGATTTCAGATGAATTAGTGCAAATTCAGAATAAACAACCTAGAAATAGTGGAGGAGCTTTGCGCTTCCACTACCACAACCGAGAGCAGGACATAACTTACTGAAGGACATCCTGAGGCCAGACTTGAGAAATGCTTAGAAGATACAACATAACCAAACTCTTCCAGGCAGGAGTGCCTCCTCCAACCATAAACAATATATTAAAGGCAACTTCCTAAAACATTTCCTGGAAAGAAATTTATGTCATAGTTACAGGCATTTCCCCAACATTTTCATCTTTGTTCCTTCAATCTTTGATAGTGTGGGAAGGAAATCAGACAGCTTGTGGATATTGCTGCTACCCTTCAATCCTACTGATAATAGTTGTGGAAACATACACATAAGAATAACTTCCTGAATGAAACAATATTTAGCACATATAGACACCTTTGTTCTTGTTGTCTGGAGAATATATAGTTATACACAATTATAGTGTAGACTTTTACATGACTATTAGGATGTGTGAATGCTCTCTTTGAAAAAAGAAAAGAGCCAAATCAGGTGGGTTTTTTCCAGGCAGGACAAACAGATACATGCTAACTCCATTTTTCTTAAGCCAGTTGTATCATAACAGGAAGTATTACTCATTTTAAATTTGATGCTGAATTATTGTACAAAAAGTTATGAAGAACAGTAGACAGAACTTTCCCCTCTTACTTCATTACCTTGAACAGGAGAAGAAGCCAATGTGTCACCAGCTGAAACACATTCAGTCACAGGACTGAGGACATAGGGCTTTGACATTCCTGCCCCCAAAATTACAGAGTCTATGATTTTGTTTGACTCAGGCATAAAAAGAACAGAAACTCATGAGAAATATATCTGTCACAGCAAGGTGATAAAAAATACAAAGCAGCTGAATTTCTCCAGGTGTTTAGACTTTATAATTTTGTAAGACAGTACTAACTTGGGAACATAAAAATGGCCATATTGGGTCAGACCAAAAGTCCACATAAGCAAGTATCCTCCAGCAATTACCAACCGTGCTGGATAATTAAGAAAGAGCAAGAACAAACAATGGGGGGGGGGGGGGAGGGAAAGGAATCAAAACAGAGCAAAGTGAAAAAATCTCTTACAATTGCATACACTTACCTACTTATTTCATCAGAAGGATCTAATCACTGCTCCTCATAGAAAGTCTCCAGAAGGAAGGCAAGGGATCAAACTGGGCCAGAGGAAGTAAATTAAGAACAAAGAGACAACAGGTGTTTCTTATTTTTATTTGTGGTAGGTGAGTACTAGGGTTGTCATTTCCTGAGGCAGAATTCAGATAATGATTTATAAGGAATAGCTTTTCCCTCCTCTGTGGTGGAACATGAAGAGATTATAATATGCTTGTATTTCACCTGTACTGAATAATTAGCTATTTTATTTTCTAGGCTACATGACTTTGACCTTGCACATGTTACTGCAAAGTGCTGTCATCATGCCTCTCTAATTTCAAATCAATACAGAATTAGCAGTTCTGACGTTACATAATGGGTTAAACCCCATATAATTTTCCCCTTCCAAGCCAGTATTTGAGCCCATTGTCCAACACATCTGAACAAGATTGTTTGAGTCTGACATTGGATGGAAATAAAGAATGCTTATCGCTTTTCCCAAATTTTAGTTTAGATATATCAGTATTCAAAATAAGGTGGGTTGTTTTTTTTTACTTTAGTAGAACATTTCTTTGATTCATATATTGATTTTATTCACTTTATTTCTCCTCTGGCTGGCAAGGATAGGAAAAGACTTTGGTTTCTTACATCAGACACAACTAATTTCAAGTACAAAGATCCTAATTCCCATCACTCTGCACACCTTGCATAGTTATTCACCTAATCCTATGTCTGATTAGTTGCATCTGATATTTAAAAAAATTAAATACAGTAGAAATTAGACCTGCATATTTCAATCTACAGTGTTTTAAGGTACGCTATGTCATATCAGAGAACCATATTAGAGTTTCCCATGTAACAAAACCAATGTGTTTTGTTTAATTTATTTCAGCCTAAGATGCTGTAGTGGGTTGACCCTGGTCAGACACCAGGTACCCACTAAAGCCTCTCTCTCACTCCCCTCTGCAACCCGACAGTAGAGACAAAAAAAAAACCAACAAAGGATTTATGAATTGAGATAACAGCTGGGAGAGGTCACTTACTGATCACCATCACGGGCAAAACAGACTCAAATAAATTAAATTTATTACTGATTTACAGGACCAGAGGAAAAGAGTGAGAAGTAAAATAATCTAAAAAACACCTTCCCCCCACCCCTTCTTCCTTCCAAGTTCTACCTCTTCTCCTCCAGCAGTGCAGGGGGACGGGGAATGAGGGTTACGGTCAGTTGTTGTTTCTGGCACTGCTCAGAGAGGAGTCCTTCCCCTGCTCTCACGGGGTCCCTCCCACAGGAGACAGTCCTTAATGGACCTCTCCAGTGTGAGTCCATCCCTTGGGCAACAGCTCTTCCCAAACTGCTGTCCCGTGGGTCACTCCTTCGTGGGATGCAGTCCTTCATGAATGAGCTGTACCAGTGTGGGTCCCACACAGGGGCCACAAGTCCTACCAGAGAACAGCTGCTCCAGCATGGGCTGCAGTTTCCCAGCAGGACCCTGCTCCATCATGGGCCTCCCATGGGGTCACAGTCTCCTTCATGCATCCACCTGCTCCAGGATGGGCTCCTCCATGGGCTGCAGGTGGGTCTCTGCACCCCAATGTTCCTCCATGGGCTGCAGGGGCACAGCTGCCCCACCATGGGCTGCACCACAGGCCACAGGGGCCACAGCTCCGGTGTCTGGAGCACTCCTCCCCCTCCTTCTGCACTGACATTTGTGTCTATGTTGTTGTTCACATCTTCTCACTCCCCTCTTCCCTTGCTGGAATTTTCATCTGCACAATAACTTTCTGTTCTTAAATATTTTATCACGGATGTGTTACTGTCATTTCTAATTGGCCCAGCCTTGGCCAGCAGCAGGAAGCCCATCCTGGAGCCGGCTGGCATTGGCTCCACAGGACAGGGGAAGCTTCTAGCAGCTTCTAACAGAAGCCACTCCTGCAGCCTCCGCCCCGCTACCAAATCCCAGCCACAGAGACCCACTACAGATGGCAAGGACATAATCATATCTGTTTCTTCATTCTTCCAGCTGCCTGGATAAACAGTAAGCATTTACAAGATCAAAGCATGTGGGGAACAGTTTCTCTTGGTGTTTAATTAAAGAAGCAAAGTAAAAAATAACTTTTCTGCATTAAACACATTGGCTTAAAGTTTGAACAAACCTGAGTGCGTTTTAAATTGAAATCTGTAAAACAGCCTGATGACCGATCCTTTACTCTTTCTAAATATGCCTGAGATTATAACCTTAATCTATGTTTATAATTTAATTCTAAACCTTACTCTAAGAATGTCTCTTCTTTTGGTTTCCTGATTGGAAGACTGAGCTGTGTTATAACAGGGATAAGACATCCCTGACAGTCAAATCTTCAGGAGCAGGCCAGGATGGCTTTGTCCACCACATAAGCAGGGAAGGATTTTTTTCTGAAATTCAGTGGATGCAGAAAGGCCAACATCAAATGCTTTCAAAAATCTCATCCTAGTCAGGGTATTTAATTTTCTGGTTTGCCCTCTTAGGTGAGTTCATAGAGATTTAGGTTTTGGTACTGCACTTGTTCCATCTAAGCAGCAGTTACGTAATAACACCAGCCAGCCACCACGCTGGTCCATCAGCTAATAAATATGCAACCAGTAGTAGGAGTTGTGTGGGAAATGTAAGGGGACAAGAAGTCAAAAAAGAAGCTGTGTAAGTTTGGTGCAGTTTCTTTTACCCCTCCAGTGATATATACATATATATATAAGGATACCAAGATGTTTGAGAGAACAAAAGACTAAATTTGATGACTTAGTAGAACTCTTTCTGCCTTGGGCTTGTGCTTTTTTTGGGACGTCTCTACCCACATCGTTGTCCCATTAAAGCTGTGGCCAGGGCAACCCTGAGAACTATTTATGTGAACAGGAGCATCTTCAGCATATTAGAGGACTTCAAAGCACAACATTCACCATTTCCATTAGCAGTGTTAAAACTGTGAGTTCCCCTGCCCCAGAAAAGTCAGAAAATTGAGAAAAGCATGTTTGTTTTACACATCATATAGGTTCTTATTTGCATTCTGATTCTTTTGGTCCTGTAGCTGCACATTTTCTAATTTCTCTTTGACAATGCTACAGGGTCTTTGGACTTTTTGGTTGGTTGGTTGGTTTTTTAATGAAAGATCACATTATCACACAACAGCAAAAGCTGAGGCTGAGAAAACTTGGTGTAATAGCCAATGCGCTGCAAAGAGTTGGCGACACCTCTGTTGTGCGACCCTGGGCGAGTCTGTGCCTTTTTGCTCCCTTTCCACTGAGTAAATAGATGCCAGACGAGCAACTCTCTGTGTACCAATCTCACACATGAAAGCTGCTGAGACAGTGAGATCACAGAGACCTTTGCTTTGGTGTCATCATCCTGGAAAGACAGAAGTACTGAATCAAAGGCATCAGGTCTTTCATGTGAATAAAGTGCTGATCTCACAAGCTCTGAGGCCTCTGCTGACTGGCACTGCTGAGCACAGAAGAGCTGCCTTTGCACCAGGTCAGCAAACAAAAGGTGCTGTTCCAGTGGACCCAGAGGCTGATGCCACCTCTGCAGGTTCCCATGAGAATTTTAATCTCTACACTAGCACAAGTGCTGACTTCAACCCACCACCAAAAGGTAGTTTTGCCTTGATAATGACAGAGAAACATGAGCTGTTTTAAAGAATTTGTAGCTGCAATTGCTGGGCCTGAGCACAGGAGCAAGGCAGCTACCTAGACTTGTCAGACGCATACCACATGAGTTGGCGTTGGTAGGAGGGAAGATCTTTTTATTGCTTTTAGCTAAACAGATAACTCCATTTCCTAGCTGGAGGAGGAGTGCAGGGCTGCTCCCAGCCCCCAGAGCATCTCTGCCCCTCCTTCTAGGCCCTGCAGGGAGGATAGACTGTGAAAACCCCCCCAATGTTGCCACAGCATCCAGCCAGGGCAGAGCCTTTGTGCCCCTGGGGACAGCGTGGCGGGCGGAAGGGTGGGCCCAGGGAAGGAAGGAGTGGGTGGACTGCAAGTATGCACAAATATGCATGACTCTCCTCCCACCTTCTAGTGGGTCTTACTGGGGAAATTGTTTTAATACCCCATCTTCTGCTCTTCCCAAAGCAGACAGAAACTAAAGCCCTGTTTGCTGAAATCGCCACTGGTCACAGGGAAGGATTATCTTACCCTTGGTCTGGTGGTGGCTGAACATTATCAGCTAGGACAGAACTATCCAGGAACAGAGATAAGAGGCACCTGAATTTCTTGAAACAGGTTGTGTCCTCAGGTTTTGACATCTCCGCAGAGTGTAAGATTTCAGTGCTGGAACTATTTTTCCTTACGTTTTGGTAGGGGAAAAATTAATTTATGCCTGTAAATTGAAAAGCATTGCTTTAAACATCCTGAGCAGCTGGCTTTCCACATACTTTCCCTACCAAAAGCCAGTCACCAAAGGTAAATGCTCGCTTAATTCATGCATATGCTGACAACGGCTTCAATGGTATCAACAGGAAAAAAAAGGAAAGCAAATGGGCAGGATGAGTTGTGCTCTTTACAAGTCAGTGACTTAATTGTCCTTGCACTTCTGGAGACAGGGCAAAGTTCAGGTTTGACCTGAAATTCTGCAATTCATTTTGTTTAGATAATTGTAAAAATGTGTCAGTCTTCCTAAACAGACACATAATTCATATTTCTAATGATGTTACTACACTGAACACAGAGGCTGTTTTGCAACTAATTCACTAATTACCCAAGAGAGCTTCAGCCAGTCCTGCAGGAAGCCATTCCCTGCCAGTGCGGGTGAGGGACCAAGCACTGCACGTTTGAGTAGCCCTTCCTGCTGGTGTTGCATGTGTCTTTCCATTACTATTTTTCCGACTTTGATAAAACTAGTAAAGCGCTCATTCTGTAAGCAGACTCTGATGAAATGGAAGGTTCTGTGGGAGAAACAGGACTCCCCGTCTCGTTTTTAATTCCTCAGGCTGTCACAGCTGTCCCAGCAGCGTTGTGGCCCAGTCAGCAGAACAGTGACACAGTATCTATTTCTGAAACCAAGAAGAAAGACAGAGGTGGATTAGAAATTAATGGTAAATAATTCTGTTGCATTTATAACAAGACATGACATAATTTGGACTTTACAAGAAAAGTGTAGCATAGCATTTGTATAACTTGAGGACTTGTCCTGTTCTGGAGAAATAGTTGGAACCATTTCATACCCGGGCTTCCACCATCTCAGGCAATGTAGGTGGCTTTAACCACCTCAAGCACATCTCTAGTTGGGCCTGTGAGTATATCAGCTCTTCCCAGTGGAAATGGCAAATAATACAATAGAAGTCAGTAGGAATAATGACATCCCCAATGCTGATCTTTTGAGCACAGGGTACTTGATGTTGGCATATCCACGTTCTATGTAAGAGCTGGGGTGCAGGGTAACATGTTGTCCACTCTGACAACCCCAAGTGGGTAAAAGCACATGCCTGGAGAGAGTTTTAGAGCTAGAGTATCCTCTAGAATCATCTTATCTGGTCAACAGAAACAGTATAATTTGGTCCATTTCAGCTTTGACCTTTATTGTGGAAAAGATTTTTTCTTTTCTACCTGTGCACAAAAGGAAATCTTTAAAAATGCCCAAGCAAAGAAAAAAAAATATCCCTACGAAGGAGAAACTCAGAATTAGAGAAGAAATAGAAGTCCAGTGGTAGTTTTAGCTCCAGTTTCAGCTACCTTGGCAAAAAGAATGTGGCATTTAGATAATTTTTGGCCACTCAGTCAATTTAAGCTATTTTTGTACTATCAAAACCCAATTTATAGTCTTAAATTTATCTACTGTAATACAGCCAAATTAACTTTAAAGATCAATCTGTTATAAAATGATCAAAACCAAAGGTTTTAAGGAAAAGCTGACCCCTCTCCATAGCAGCACAAATGCTACAAGAGGCAGCTGTAATGGCATAAATGGACAGTTTATCAGCTTTCTGCCAGGGGCTGACAAAATCATGCCAAATGAGGCATTAAAGCCCTAGTTTTGAAAACTGTGATAAATACCAGCTAATCTGCTGACATAATATATTGTGAGTCAAATATTTAGTTTTGCATTAAATCTAAATCCAACATTAGAGCATTTCCTCTTGATTAAAAAGGATAAAATGTAGATGTTATTTTATGCTCCAGTTCCCACATCTAATTAATGCTCAACATTCAGAGCTCTTTCTGACATTACAAATGTGTAAACATGTCAAGGAAAGGGGGGAGGCACAAGGGAAACAAGTGCAATATCTATATGCTTAATTCATATTTCTCCATTTGCAGTGGCTAATATGTTATTGCAGAGGCTATTTGCAGACACTTGCCCTGCCAGTGAGCAGCTAACTTCCCTGATTGCTTGTATAAACAATCTTCCAGATCAGGAGACAGAAGTTGTAAGAGAGTACATAGCTAATTTAATTTTAGTATCATTAGGAATTAAAAGCAGGGCATTAATAGATTCACAGTAAATGTTGGCTAGGCAATATAAGCATTGGATGATATAACTATTAAAAGCCTTAATATTTGTGAATGATCGTACAAAAAGGTTTTTCAGAAAATTTATTATCTTGGGAATAAGATGTACCTAACTGGACAAGAAATTACCGCTGAGATAAAGTAAAACATTTCAGTGTTTTTGTATCATATATTACTGATCTTAGTGGGCAAGAGGAAATTCTGCTTTTAAAGGTATACATATTTAAAAGCTAGTTAATGAGCCACTCATATCTAGAAATAGAATGAGACAAATTCTCATGAATCACTGAAATATCTTCATGCATTATACATTATATTCCCAGCACTATGCTTTAGCTGATTCTTGGAATTCAGAAGTTTGAGAAATGTGTTTTATTGTCAAATACTATGTGGACTCTTGCAGTTTTAAAATGCACTGCACTGTAATTGCTTCTTTTCTAGAGAACATGTTTTAGGAAACTTAAATGCAATCCAGTGCTGTATAAGATGGTATGTGCTCAACTCAACCAAAAAAGGAGTGGAAGACACAAAACAAGTAATCGCCTGCCACTTTCATTTCAGGAAATGTGTTGATTTATTTGTTAGGAAAAAGATCTCCCTAGGCTGACAAACCTAGCTGAATCTGACACATAAATCAACATTAATTGCAACCTTCAGGATTTGGTATAGCTCACGCTACCAGAAAAATAGTTCTTCATACTCTGAAGAACATGAAAAATCACTGAAAACCAACACAGAAGAAAAAAATCCAAATAAACACAAACAAAACTCCACAACAAACAACCAACAAAAATCCAAACTAAGGAGACCTTAACAAGATGGACTTCAGAATTAAACACTTATTATATTCAAGAAAATTACACCCTGATTCTCCTCCTATTCTTTTTTGAAAAGGATTCTATGAAATGGATCATCATGTATCAGCATGCAGTCTTCAGGGTGCAGGTTACAAGATTTGGCATCTAAGAAGCTGCATGAACTTGAATGCCAGTCAGACACCTCAAAATTGTTTACCAACAGCAGCAAGGTCTGGCCCACAGAAGTGATATGCTTATACAACTCACTCTTTTGGTGGATCGTTACTTTTATTCAGTTTCCTCATTTTCTTATCTCAAACCCACAAATATCGTAAGCAAAACAATACTTCAGAACAGTTCTGCAAATATTTGGCTCTGGGCACTTTCCTGAGCCGGCTATTCCCAGAGCTTCTCTCTGCAGGACCTCCTGTCATACAGGGCTCTGCTCAGGGAAAAGCCTCCCAGGCTCTCATTTCCATCAGGATGGCTCTCCTGGCCTACTGACCAAGTAGGAAGTCAACCCACTGTTGACAGCAGCTATCACCAAGAAATGCCTTTGAATCAGTGTTTAAAATGGTTTCATTGTTCCTGTAAACAAATCACAGCTGAATTTGCTATCATTCCAGAGACTGCAATGGCAAACCAAGTTACGTAGGCTTTACCTCTTCCAAAATCGGCTTTGTGCTATCTAAACCTGAGAAATGTTTAATGGCTGCAGCACCATTTTGGACCAACAGGTTGATCACAATAACACTGGCACAACAAACTTGTCTGCCTTGACAGTATGAGTGAGTCGTGGAGTAGCTCTACTCAGCTCCTACTCGTTCTGCCCAATTCCACAGTCAATTCAGGAGAGTGCAGAGCCAAAATATCCCCCTGCCCACACCCTTAAATTACAATAGCCAGTCAAAAAAACAGAAAACAAACCCAAACCCCAGACCCTGAGTAGTTTTGCAGTCTGAAAGACCTAAATCAATGTTATCTTATTGTTTTTTTCATGCCACTGTTTGTGTTACAACATAAAATATCTTCTGACACTTACCATAACATTAAGAAAGAATCCCTGTGAATGCCCTCAAGTTTGGGTTGATCTATTAATATCAATGCCTTGTGCAGAATCCAGCTGCTAATTTACATAACATCAAAATGCAACACCAGCAGTTCCATTTGCTTTTCACTTTGCGCTTCAATTCAGGTACCTAAACACCTAAGTAACAAGCTTCCAGGTAGTTTGGGAGCCACTGATGTATTGGGACTTCAAGTAATAATAGATAACTACTGGAAGATAGTAATTATATTTCCCGAGAAGTTTGAATGCATGTGCTGTAAGGTTGGGGAACTGGCACATTTCTTTATCAGTGCTACGTGCTTTTGTCCCTTCTTCATATTTTGACAGTGATTTTTGACTGCAAAGAGATTGTAAGTGGTACATGGATTGGCACAAAATCAGAAACAGACATCAGTGGGAATGACCCCAAAAACTGGGAAGACCTGGTGTTACTGAATTTCTTCTAAATTATTTCTGAGCTACTAATATCTATAATTAACCCTTTGTGAAGGGAAAAAAACCCAGTTCTTCATCTCTCATTGTGGAACTTGTTCACAACCTCTTTTTGCATCTTTACACTGAGAGAAAAACATGACTAGCTCCTTTCTGAGAGTTCATCAAGTTCTTGTGACTAAAGTCACACTGCTTGCACATTGCAAGAGTGAAGAAATTCACGCCAGACTCCTTCTTCTGCATAAAAACCAGCTGTCTTTCTATGAACTGATCTAAAAAACAAACAAGGTACATAGGGAACCAGAGCCCTTGCCACATAGGTTTTCGAAAGGGCTTTTTATATTACTGTATAAACGCTGATCGATCATCTACCTTTTCTGGGACAGTCATCCTGCAAAACGAAAATGTGTTAACCTGAAAGAATGTGTTCCTGTTTGGAAATACACAAAATGCCACTGATTACTATCAGTGCTTATGTCAGTACTGCACACACTATGGCATATAGAACCTGGGAGGTGCCGTGCAAAGCCCTTTATCAGCAATTTCCAGAGTAACAAGGCGAGGCACAGGACAAGTTGTCCTTAGTGCTCTGGAGCCTTCAGAGCATCATTACCTTGTGCAGCTATATTGGTATCTTCAGCATCTTCACAGCATGGAGCTTCTACCTCCACAGGGATGTCAAATGCTGTCTTAGTTTACATTTATCCTTAAAACAACCTCTGTTCTGTGCCAGGCACTGAATAACTTCTTGCGTTTATATTTGAAACATTTCTAATGTCTAAAAGTTGTGATTTTCTGCTTCCATTTTCCACTCTGTTGATAAGGTTTGAATATAATACTCAGAAAGTTTAAGGTTCATTTAAGCAAACATAAAAACACATTTCATATCCATCTTTGCCTTTGCATACCTGGTGCATGATAGTCATTCAAGATCTCTCACATGGAGAAAGCTTATTCGGATGCTAAAAATATCATATGTTTACACTTGTAAATCACCATTAGCAAATGATTCTCCTAATGCTTTAGACAATATAGTAGCAAAGTGCAGCTGCTTCAGCCAGAATGGTATTTTAGCGATTTTTAAGAACTTAATGAGATCAGGTAATTGACTAGTGAAGCTAAAAATTTTACTCTCAATTAAACAATCAACAGCTCAGTACATCAACATATTCATCTTCGCCCCTCCACCTCTCTATTATTAAATCAATATGTGGGTAGCAG